TAATGCAACAGGTCTTGTTTATATGTATGCTGGGTCATATAAAGCACAACTGTTATCAGTGCATATTTGCTGTTATCACAATTACACTAATTTTAAGTATACATAGTGTTACTATAAGTATATATAATATACATGTCTACCTGTATGCTTGTGTTTATATTTATTAAAACATACAGTATATATATATTCAATCCTCATATTGAAATGAAAATATAAAAAGCTAATAATAATATTGTTTAATATTAAATTTATTAGGTAAATATTAGCTTCCTCATTATAACCAGAAACAACATGTGATAGTTTCATTATATAATTTAATTTCAAAATGCTCGAAGCATTAATATATATTTAATTAAATCTTTTATTATTAAATATATTTTTGTATTAATCATAGCAGCTATATATTTGTGAAATTACATGTAAAATGTTTATGCTTTCTTTAATAATAGTAAAAAAAAGCACTATATTTGTTATTAACAGGGATTGGATATAATGGGGCTGGGACCCAACACTTTATAGTTCCGTGCGTCAAGTGACTTTCTCTCTAATTATCATGAACTCCCCACACCTTCTACCTGAAAATCTTCTGGTGATCAGGAACTCACATCTCCCCTTTTACCTGCTACTATTAAAGATTTATCAGAGAGTACCCTATTTGCTCATCTGCTCTCTCTCCTTCCATCCTGCAGGCTCCTAGACAATGGTTTTCTGTAAACCTAAGGTCTAGAAGAATATGAACACATGCTAGTTTCTCAATAGAGATAAATAGAATGAGTGAATCTCCCACAGTTCTGTGAAGCCCCAGTTTGAGAAACATTACAGTAGAGGACATCTCATTAGAGTTACCATTAACTTAATAATTTAATGATTTGTTATGAATTTAAGGGTAAGAATCCAATATATATATTTTTTTGTTTAATGTTCATATGATGAAGAATGATATATTTTTACTCAAATATAAAATCTATTACTCTGGCAGTATTTTTTTTCTTTTTTGGTCAGAAAAAAGAAAAGCTGTAATATTCTTATTACATATTATGCATTTCTGGAAAGATTTTAAATATCACTATGCACTGAAAATCTGATTATAATTGTACAAGATAGTTTTTATATAAAAGGAGCATCTTCATTGCCATTCTTGAACCATGTATGAAATAGTCAAATCCACTGTTGGCCTGTTACCTTTTCACAGCAAATCCAGTCAAACATCTGATCTTCTAATGTTCCCTCCAACACCACTCTTTCAACTCCCTACCACAAACCTATGGTTCTTCATTTGTAACAATAATGCTGTTCAAGTACTTTCATTCTTTCCCATTTTTTCTTTAGTTCTAGGATACCTGTAGTAACTAGGTAATCTAAAAATCACTAGAAGATAATAGATAACCCAGAAATATTTATTGAATGAATAATTCAGCTATTTCTGGATTAATGTGGTACCACACAAGATTTTTATTTATTTACTTATATTTTATATCATTACTTATTATTAACAGTGCTTGCTTCTTCTCTCAGATATAGTACCTATATAATTTCCTCCCCCAATTCACGCATGCACCTTCGTCCTCATCCTCTGTGCTCTCCCCTCCCTTGTTCCAACACCTCTCCCTCCCATACCCCAGCCAGATGTCTATGACTTATGGTTGTCTGTTTATTTCTGGTTTGTTTTGTTGCTTTTCTTGTTATTATTTTTTCCCTTGTTGTCTTATTCGGTTCCCCTATATTCCGCCTATAAGTGAAACCATCTGATAATTTTCTTTTTCCTTCTGACTCATTTCACTGAGCATAATTCCTTCTAGCTTTATCCTTGTTGCTGCAGATGACATTAATTTACATTATTGATTGCTGCATAATATTCCATGTATATGTATATATACCACATTTTCTTGATCCAGTTGTCTATTTTTGGGTATTTGGGTTGTTTCCTGATTTTATCTATTGGAAATAGTGCTGCAATAAACATATGGGTACAGGTATTCTTTTTAATCAATGTTTTTGAGTCCTATGGGTAGATCCCTAGGAGGGGGATTGCTGTGTGATATGGTAGCTTCGTTTTTAGAAGTCTGTGGAACCTCCATACAGCTTAACATGCAAGATTTTAATAGAAGAATTCATTACGTAACAGTGACTTTATCCAAGGAGATAGGGAGTATAAGAGAAGTAACCATTGATGAACAATTAATGCCCCAGGCACTTGGTTATTCTTTTCATATGTGCATTTATTTTTAAAAAACGTAGGAATTTCCTTCAACCACTATATATAAAAAAATCAGTCTTAAATGAGCTTCTTGCTTAAGTACAACAAAAAAGTGATACCAAGAGGAATCAAACCCAGGTCTGTTTGACTCCAAAGTCAGGATCTTATAAGAGAAAGCATGGAGTAACCCATGATATTACATAAGAGTAAAGAACTGACACTGGTTCTCTGAGGGAAACTTCATCCTGTCCTTTTTCTACTTACAGCTACATAAGAATGTCAAATTAAGAAATGGACAGAAGAACTTACCAGACACTTCTCCAAAGTGGAAATGCAAATGACCAACAAGCATATGAAAATTTTCAACATTCATTATAATCAGGGAAATTCAAATCAAACCCACAATGAGATACCACCATACACCTTATAGAATGGTGCATATCAAAAACTAGCAACAACAAATGTTGGTGAAGAGGTGGTGAAAAGTAACTCTTATTTTGCTGGTGGGAGTGCAAACTGGTACAATGGTACTGATACTATGCAAAGCTGTATGGAGGTTCCTCAGACTACTAAAATGGTGCTACTGTAAGACACAGCAATCCCACTCCCAGGGATCTTTCCATAGGACTCAAGAAATATATTAATTCAAAAAGATACCTGCATCCCTATGTTTACTGCAGCACTATTTATAATAGGTAAGACCTGGAAACAACCCAAATACCCCAAAGTAGACAAGTGGGTCAAGAAAATGTGGTATGTAGACACAATGGAATACTATACAACAATCAAAAAGATACTAATGCCATTCTTAGCAACAGGAATGGAATTATGCTCAGTGAAATAAGTCAGAAGGAAAAAGAAAATTATCAGATGGTTTCACTTACAGGAGGAATATAGGGGAACCAAATAAGGCATTGATACAAAACACAACACAACAAAAGTAAACAAAATAAACAGCTAACTATAAGCCATCCTGTAGGGGTATTGGAGGGAGAGTGGTTAAAGTGAGGGAGGGGGAACACAGGGGACTGAGCTGACGGTGCATGGGTGAATTGTGGAAGTTAATTTTATGGGGACTACACTCAATGGGGAGGAAGTAAACATTGTATAAAATTAACAATGATGTAAAATACATACAAATAAATTTAATTAAAAAAATCCAGATACCAATTTCCCCCTTACTTCATCATATGTTTAATATAAATCACTACAGTTTTTTAAATTTCATTTTGACTTCATCTTGAAGTTCTGTCTGAAATGGTGATTATCTTGATTATATATTTAATGAATTTTATTATTTCTAAGCTAATAGCTTAGATATAGCAACTGAAATTAAACTAATCAAGTATTGCATACTAGAAAGTCTACCTTAATGGCTAAAATCAGCATATTCAATTATTCACTGGTTTGATAGTCTAATTAAATATTTAAAGTAAATCAACTTTCCCTAGCAATGTCATTTGCCTTATTTATTTCACTAAGCTCAAATTAAATTTGCTGTTAGTGTACACATATTGAAATTGAAGAAAGTGAGGTTTTACTCATTTAGCAATAAGAAGTTCTTTGGCGTAATTACAAAATTCACTCACTTTAAGAAATGTATAAAGATAAATAGGGGTAATATAGTATGTTGCACTCCTAGTCTTTTAGTTAAATACTTAACAGTACTGAACATTAAAAGCTCAACAAATCTCAAAGCAGCTGCTTCTTTCTCAGTATTTTGCTAAGTATTTTGCTTAGTATTTCATCTCATTAGTTTTTTTAATTTAAAAAATAACTTAGGAGAGAAAGGTATTAACATCCTGACAGGTAAGGAGTCACTCTTGAGGCTCTGTGTAAGGTTTGTAGTCTCCAGAAAGAATGAACTATTTCCACTGCCCTGATCTTCACAGACCTACAGTTTGACAGGTGCATTCTGTTGGGGAGAATTTACTTTTAGAAAATTATTTGTTCCCCTGGGCAGAGGAGGATTCTCTTGTCTTGAAACCTTAATTTGTCACAGAGCAACTACCTCCAGAGGGCATTTTTGATATTTGATCTCTTGAAAACAGTAATAAAAAGCTACTAAGAAACAGAGGAATTTTTAGGTAGAAAAGGACATAAAGTTTTTAAAATTTTAACACACTGAATTTATCTTTCTCAATTTACTCTCTTAGAACCTCTTTGATACCTCCCGTAAATCTTTCCATAATTGAATCCAAAACTTACTATAAAAACTAGTGCAATTAAATGGGGGGGGGGATTTTAGCTAAATTTTTTCTTGAAACCCTTTGATGATGTGATTATATTTATAAACTGTTTGAAAATGCACTACATTTTCCAAATCTTAAGAGATATTAGAACACACAAAAAGTATTTTCTAATGTAAATATTATTTAACAGGAAGAGATCTGAACAAGACTTTTATATATGCCTCTTCACAAAATTTGAAAAAAAAGAACATGTCCCTGATGTCTTAATCCATAATTTTGAGTAAAAAGAGAGATATTTTTGTTCTTGACAGATTTATACCTATGAAGTTAATATGTAGACATGTGCTATGGGCTATGGATCACTCACTTAGAAGTTTGTTGGTTAAAAGATGAATAGTCTTTAGTTATCTCCTAGCAAAAACAGAAATAACTGCATTATTTGCAATTACAAGTGAGTTCATTTCACACTGTAGTATTTCCAATTGAAATTGCATTTCAACTATGAGATATTCCAGAACCTTGCAAAGCAAACACCTTTCTTCTGCATTTAAAACAGATCAGCTTGTACAATTGTAATCTTTCAGAAGATAAAATTCTTAAGCAGCTCTTACCTCATCAGAACCAGATCCAAAAATCAGCAAGTCAAAAGGAATTGCTGCAACCATGTCAATCAGGAACCAGCCTTTGAAGTAGTGTATTGCTATTTTGGCCGGATCACTTACCACTTCTTCATTCTGATTTACATATGTTGTTCTGAAGTTTATTAGAATATCTATGATAAACATAATGTCCACAATCAAGTCTACCACATTCAAAGGGCTACAAGAATAGCCACATTCTCGTCTTTTCTGTTCTTCTCTGTCATTGAGGAGAAAGGCAGCAGAGTAAGGGGTGAATATAGCCGTGTATATAACCAAAAGCAGAATAAGCCAATCCCAGACTGCCTTGAAAGGACTGTAGTGCAATATCGTAAACTTGTTGATGCGTGGCGTCTGCAGTTTATATTCTGGCAGAACATCTGCTCCTAAAGAGAGAACCTGGATAATAGAAAAAAATCATACACTACATAAAAATATCATTGATTAGTCTCTAAACCTATAGAAACTGTAAGGTAATTATATAGAGGAAATCACGTAAAGCCTCACTTTTACATGGCAAACCGATCCTATATCTATAAAGTTCATTCAGGCCATCCTTTCCCCCTTACATCACTATATCACAAATCTGACCCTAGAAAAATTCATTAGTATTTCATGGTAAATATGATTTTCACTTAAATAATTATGAAGATACCAAGGAATGGTTTCTGGTTTCTTTGGGACAGGGAAATAAAAATACATAAGTGTTTTTAGAAAAATCATGAAATCAGATTGATGCACGAGTAATTTAAATTTGCAACCTAAGAGAGGATTGGTTGTGATGAATAGAAGCAATCTAGCTTGGATCCATGGTCATATTTAATTTACATATATTTAATTTATAATTAAGCTTTGATAAATTAAATCCAACTCATTCAAATCTCTAATTAAAAATTCCTCACCTGCAATCTGTTTTTAGCATTTGAAAAAAATTCACATGAGATTAAAATAAACACAAAGGAATCTTTTTCTTAAATGACGGAAAGACTATTCCATATTGTGGGGCAAATATACTTTCACCTGAATGGTAGAAAGTAATATTCAGGGTATTGACTTGAATAGTTGCAAGATTCTTAGCCACCAAACAGTATTTTAAGTCTAAGATTTATTCTATCTAAAAAGGTATAAGGAAATCTAGCTCACATTTTGGTCTTAGTTTGTTTAAAAAACTTGAATTCTGATGCTCATAAGTAGGAAAACTCATGAGTTTGTGATTTTAGCCAAGTTTCATTTAAAAAAAAAAGGTTAAAATAGAAGGATTATGTAAATATCCTGGAAATGTAGTTAGCCTTAAAATATAGCTTAAAAGAAATTTTAAAAAAATTGATGACTCCATGAATGACACATGGAGGCTCTTTGTGAATTAGGTTACACTCTTGTCTTATGGATAGCCTACATGTACGTGATGGCTTGATTTCAAGGTCAGTTTCACTAAGTAAATTTCTGAAGTTTAGAAACTTCTAAACAAAGCATTAAGAGTTTTGCAGCATGGAACTCAGGCAATCCCCCATTGGTTAGTCAGAGTGTTATTTCTGCATTCTTAGTATTTCTATCCACCTAGGTTCTAACTTGATTATAGCTATAAATTCTCAGACAAATTTCAATTTTAAATCTCATTTCCATTGTCATTTCATGCCTTTTTTTTTTCCATAATGAGTTACCACTCCTATTTTAAAAAGAACTTGAGAAGTTAAATTAGAACCCCAAATGAGGTACACATGATTTTTAAATTTAACATAAGAGTTCAGTTAAAATAGGCAAAGCTGTTTTTAGGTAACAGGCAAACTGATTTAATTAGTTTTGAAAAAAAAATGATAAAGACCCTAATCATTTTTTGCAGCCACAGTAAATTTTAAGGAATAAACAGGATTTTGTTTTAAGCTATTATGATAAATGCCAAGAGTGGTCAGCAAAAGACACATTTGGAAAATAATGTGATTTAAATATTTATGAAATACTGAAACCCTCAGAATCCAAGATCTGTATATCTATACCTTTAATTTTATCACTCAGACTACTCCATATGTACAAAGTCATATTCAAAACCTTATTGTGGCTCTCAAAATCATCTAAACTGTGAATCTATTTTTCAAATTCTTTGTCCCATTAGATTCTCCATGCACTCAGTGTGTTCTGGAAAACATGACTAAATTTTTGAGCAGCTGAGATCTTCCCAATTCCCTATATTCATAAATTCCTCTGATTAAAAAAGTGTAAATCCACAGAAAATCCCCAAAAAAGTCATTTTAAAAGACAGTTTGCTACCTGCGTAGGTGTCATGCGTTTGATACAAACCACCTACATGGGGCAATTTGAATATTTGTGTGAGTGGAAGTAAGTTAGAATGCATGCATCATTCTGTGGATTTGCCCCTGAGAAATCCAAATGGGATGAAACTCTTCCCAGCCCACATATCTAGACATTCACTTAACATTTAGATCACTATCATGCCGAAAGCTGGAGGCTGAAAAATTGGGATGACTCTGTCCCTGACATCATGAGATTTATGGTCAGTTGGGACAAACAGGCAAGAAAATGGCACCCTGTGAAGTCTGCTGCACCCATCTCCTGGGTTTGCTGTGACACTGATGTGGACTTTGTTTCAGCTAGAGCAAAAGAGTGTACTTGTGTTACAGGGCACCCCAGTGTGAACTGGGCCACCTGTCTGTGGGGCTTAACCCGTGTGCCTAAAATTCATTTGTAGTCAGGCACACACAAGAGTCAATAATGGGTTTATTTACAAAAGGGGAAAAGAAAAGGAAACAACCCAGAGAAAGAGAGAGGGATACAAAGTAACTGTAATATCTTACCAGCTTGGCTGACTTGGAGCTCTGGTAACTAACTGAAAGCCCCGAGTCACGCCGACCCTAGAGCCGATTCCCGAGTGAGAAAGAGCCATAGCAAATGGCGCCCTATTTATCCCTCAAAGTCCCAGAATGTCTGCTTAGCTCCGCCCTTGGGTCCTCGCAGTTCTCTCCCTGGTACTGCTGGGAGTTGTAGTTTCCAATTACTGGAGCAGGGGGTGGAGTCCATGGAACTCTGTAGAGTTCCTTTAGGACATCCTTCCCCTTACCACTTGTACTGAAACTTTAAATAGGGTTTAGAAAAAAATGCAGTGGGGTTATGTGGAAATTGGAAAGGGAATTTTTTTTTTTAAGATTTATTTATTTATGCATACAGAACTGGAGTATGGGCCAGAAGTGCAGGGGTGGTGAGAGGATTCATCAGAGACAGAGTGGGGAGCAGAACAGGCCAACTGATGAAGTTGAGGGGAGCAGCGGTCGGTCAGGAGAGGTCTGCTGTGCCATGTGGATCACCTCTGGGGTGGGGATTGAACTCATGCTGAAGTGACTTTAGCTTCTTAGTGCTGTGCTTTAACGTGCTGTGCCATCAGGGAGGGCCCTGGAGAGGGAACTTTTACCGTAGAAAGATCAGAATGAACAAAGGTAATCAGGAGGCAGCAATAGTGTGCTGTCTGTTGAGGACTTGTAAGCTGCTGTATATTATTGACAGATAAAACACAAGGGAAGTAGAGATAAAACACAAAGATGACAGTAGAAAGGTATAGTATCAGGTTTAGAGGATGTAATATAAGTAACATGACAGGGATCCTGTTTTCTCATTTAGGTTAGGGTTTCTGAATGCAGATTTCTTTTATAGAGCAAGATACTGCAGAACCCCAATGATGATTTAGAGCATTCCCATTCATACTTGTATGTAAAAAAACAGAAGTAGTTTAAAATTGCTTAGACCTCTTGATACATTGTGATTTGAATTATGTACTGCCCCTCCCCCCCAAATATGTGGAGGCCCTAGTCCCTGGTACCTTATTAAGAAATACAGTCTTTGTGTATGTAATCAAGTAAAGATGAATTCATAGTAAGTGGGTTCTGATGCACCATTGGTGTCCTTATAAGAAGAAGGGAATCTGGGAACAAAACCACAAAGATACACCAAGGAATGCTATGTGACAACGGAGGCGGATGCAGTTACAAGCCAAGGAAGATCAGAACCTAGAATAAAAGAACAGATTCTCCCTCAGTGCTTCCAGAAGGATCCCAACATTGCCAAAACTTTAATTTTGAACTCCTAGCCCCCATCATTGTGAGAGGATATACTTCCACTGTTTTAAGCCACCCACTTTGCGATATTTTGTTACGCCATCCCTAGAAAACTAATATAAAGATGAAAGATGAGAATAACAAAATATTGAACACTGAATTCTAGCTATCATCCTCAATTTAAATATGACAGATTTAGAATTCAAAATGATTAATATTGATTATGATATGTGTTTTGAGATTCTATTCCAATCTCAAGCCTTTTTTTTTTTTTAATAAAAGTATGGTGTTAAGATAGCATTCTAAACTTCAAAGATTTTATTACAGTTTTAGGATAATCATATTACATTTTAATCTTAATTTACATTTTGATTCTACACATTTAGATGGCCAATTTAAAAGGAATTACTTGATACTCTATAAACATTTTTGTTTACTTGAAATCTAGTTTATCTTGGGTTTTATTGAATTCTATATTAAGCGACTGTCTAATCAAATTATCTCTGGAACTCAGAAAGGCAGTTCATTTATAATATTCTAACATACCTATTGATACCAAACGATTATAGTTGGGTTTGTTCAATTATGGAGTGTGTTTTGACAATGCATTTGCAGTAACTGGTATGGTACCAAGGGTATGTACAGATTCTTTTGATGCCTGAATGAATATCGCTCTCTAATATTGATTACTCAATTGTCTCATTAATTTTACTAGCCAATTGACTTCAAAAACTTTTATCTATACAGCATGATTTATAATGAGGTGTCATAAATTCAAATCGAGGCATAGGCACGGACAACTCGCATAAGACACCACTCTGTTATTAGTGATTATTTTAGTGAGCCAGAAGATTTTATTGATTTAAGTTATCACCATGTGAGAGATGGGCTTACCTGTCCAAACCAAAAAATGGAGGTAGAGGTTTTTGAGTACAACAGGAAGTGAAACTTTACATCTGTTCTGCAGGGCAGGTGTCTGTGAATTGGCAGGCGCACTAATACACATTCATATTCAGTTTACATACCCTGCCCCGTTTCTCACTGGCTGAGTACCAAAGGGCCTAAAATCTTACCAGACATCACCTAAATTCCTTTCCAACTAGTAATATGCATTACCAACTAGTAATATGCATTAAAACTCTTTTTGTTTCTTTTAGAGTCATCTGGCCTGATTTATGGTATCTCAGTAAAACTTTGGTTTGGTTTTAAAATTCCACCCCCTGCTGGTGCAGCAGGTTAAAGCACAGCACTAAGAAGCTAAAGCCACTTCAGTATGAGTTGCAGGTCCCGGAGGTGACCCACATGGCAAGACAGACGTCTCCTGACCTGTTGCCGCTC